GGCCCAGATGAAATTCCACTTTTAAGTATTTTGGTCTGTGTCTAAGATCCTTGTTAATTACAGGGTGGTTTGTGGTCCGACAGTATTGGTTTCCCCTGGGAGCTGGTAGGAAGTACAGAACTCGGGGTCCCTGCTCCCAACCTCTTGACCCAGGATCTGCATCTTGAACAACCTCCCAGGTGATGTTTAGGAACAGTAAACTTGGGAAGCCCTGTTCTAGATTTCAGGATAGAGTGTAATCCTAGGATTGGGGTTTATGGACCTGATGTGAGCATCTTGCCTAATTTAGTAGATTCTAACAGACTCTTTTGGATTCTTTACCTTTGCTTGTCTTGGAAATGATTCTCATGTGGTTAAACTCAGAGATTCTTGGGGCTCCTTTTGCCTCGAAGGACTCAGTTGATCTGGTCTTGTGACTCCCCAAACCTCTAGGACACCGACAGAGGAACTGATGTGTTCTCTGCCAATGCATGCCATTACTCTTGGATCCAAACTCTTTGTTCTGGTTTCAGGTTAGTATTTGGAAAAATGATTGTACTCCTAATCTAGCAAAGCTATTTTTAGACCCTACTCATCCCCAATTCTGATTGTACTCCTGAGACCTCTGTGTCACATGGAACAATATTGAGTTTTATCCTCTTATCTACAGAGGTATTTATTCTACAAATAATAGCCAGTGTGTAGTATCTATTCTAGATCATAGTCCAATAGTCATTAATTGGTATTTTGATGATCCTGCTTATCATTCAGGTAGAAAAAGTAACAAGAAGGATAACCATCTAATAAAACATGGATGTATTTCCAGTTTTCTTTTAAATCGAGGGACAGATGTTGTTACCTTGATCAATGCACATCCCAACCTTCTACTTACTTGATCGTAATCTAGAATCAGTACATTTAAGAAACATTTGGTAAAGCAATAAAGATAAAAAGTGAGAAAATTGAGATTCATATTTATTTGCATGGGGTGAAACCTGGTTTTGATGCTTCCAATGCCTTCCACGGTGGTGACAGCGGTTCCATACAGAGAGCAGATGGGCACCAGGCATGCAGTGATGGAGAAGTGTCTTTGTATGAGAAACACAAGAAAAAAAACAGGAGGAGAAACACAGTCCTGCCTCATGGGGTACACTGGAGCCAAAAGGGCAGCAGAAGACCTCCAAAGCCCATCAATCAGCTCTGACAGGCTGGGGAACTGGAGAGGTGACAGCAAGGAGCAGTTAGAGTCAGTCCTCTCTTTGCCTCTGTGCTATCTGCAAGGACTGAGGATCCTTAAGGTGGAGATGGGCATTCTGAACTTCAGAAAAACTTCCTAGGCCTAGAATGGACTCACCTGGGAACAACAGGAATGGACTAAGGTCTCTAGGAGAGTGCTTGAACTTCAACCGATATCCATTGAGACCCTGACCTCATAAAAAGCAAAGGCAAGCAAAAGATATGGGTCTTTTACCCATAGCTACACATTTGGGTATTCTTTTGCTTGTTGATTTAAATGATATTGAATGACCTATGTTCTAAACCATCTCTTAATTTCTTGGGCCAATGGGATTTGGAAAAAGCACAAGTTCTATAATGTGGCCCAGAACAAGTCACTTCATTTTTTTGAGTCTCAATTTCCTCACCTGTTAAATATGTTGTTGGCCTAAGTTGGGATTTCTTTAACCTAGGGCATGTAGACGAGCCTTGGGAGGTTTATGATCTTCCCGAAATTACATGTAAAATTAATCATCTTTCCATTATCTGAGTAGATGCCTCCCAGCATTTATGGGATTTCTCAGAGGAGTCTGAGACAAGAATCCAAAAATCTTTCTTAGTTGCGAGATTAGAACACAAGCCAGGCAGATAAAGAAGGCCCTCCTCTGGCTTCTGAGTGTCTGGTGGGTACCTTATCTTCTTGGATACTGGATCGTGCTTAGACACCATCACCGTGCAGGCTCCACAGCTTCCTCTTCCACAGGCATACTTGGTTCCTGTAAGGCCTACTGGAGGTCGGGGTGATGAAGGAAAAGTTGCCAAGGGGAACATTTTGCATCTAGCCATAGCTAACTGCTTCCCTAGGGTGTTGCTAAAGGTCTTTGTGGGGTGAGCTGCAGGTCTCTGAAGTCATGTTCTTACTTCCAGGTCTTATTAAAGGCCACTCCATACCTTATTAGCTATGTGACATGGGCCATACTTAATTTTTTCTTGCCTATTTTCTAATTTACACAGAAGGAGGCATAATATCTACTTTATTGTCACAGGTTTATCACAAGCATATCATGGGATAATGATGTAAAAACTTTGAAAAATCCTATTTCATTATAGAGTATTCTTATATGTCTTCCTCTGGGCTCCAATCATATAATTGGAGGAGAAGAACTTTATTTTTAGAAAACGTATTATGAGTTTTGCTCAGTAGCTTGTATTTAAAAACAAGGAATCTTCAGAGGAAACTCCTGTCTTTACTTTTTTATTTTTTCCTTGAGCACCCCTGGATTGGTCCAAGTCTGATCCTGAATCTAGGCCCAGCCGCATTCATCCTTTTCCCTGTGATCTGTTTCACACACTTTATGGAACTGGATGTAATTGACTAGACTGGCTAAAAACACTTCAGAATCACTGAGTCTTTATTGTTATTATCTATTTTTTCCTAATGATAGGGTTTATTACTCTGAATTAAAACATGGCCTCAAATGCTTAACCAGAGATGTCACACAAATAAATACAGTGGCAAGGGTGTGACTGGAGAGCCTGAACTCAAAGGGAACAGTCCCTACTGAGCTCTAAGCAAGACTATTGACACGCAGGACTGGCCAGTTTCCCAGTCACAATGAGAAGCTGAAAATCTTGAGTTTTGTTTTAAAACATGGAATTCCCTAATTTTCAAATATTGACAACTAATTATAAACCATGTGAGCTTGTGGGCTTATAAACAATATTGTAGAGGCCAATTTAATCAATTTGAAATTTCTCTCAATTATTTTAATTTTTCTGGCAATTCCAAGAGATCCATTAGATTTGCCCATTAAAATATGTTGGCCATTATGAAGATCTAGATTCCAGAATATAAAATGGGGTTGGAGGAGTCTGGTGTCAGAAAGCAGGTATAGGGAAAGAAAATCTTTTCCTCTGACACTGTCTCACTGATTCTGGAGAATTTGGTTTCATGAAGGGGCAGGTAACAGGACTTCTATTACATGACACTCTGCTGGGGACCTGCAAAGCCCTCCAGGGACTATTTCGTGAGGAAATGAAGAGCTTAGTTTCTATTTCATGCTATTAAATATAAGCACCTCTGGGAAAATTCTTCCTCTCCAAACTAGCCTCCTTCACCTGAGATCCAACTTAAAACCATGACCAAAAACAAATAGCAAGGGCCAAGGGCCAACTGGATGGAGGAAGTGATCAGTTCCCATGGTCACATGGCTTGATTTTTAAGGAACAGACACAGCCAGGACTTAGCTAAAAAGGGTTCAGTTTTTTCGTAGGAAGGTCAGCAGAGTCACTTCTGGGTCTGCATTTCTTTCTGTCACCTGTGTTAAAACAGAAGAGATGTTATTATGGGGTTGAATCAGTGACCAGTGGAATGTCTGTTATAGCCTGTTTGATTTAGGGCTTCGGCTATCATATTAGACATGCACCTTTTTTATTTTTTATTTTTTTGGTGCTCTGAAGTCAGACAACTTTCATGCACATTTAGGGGCAGGAGCCTCACAAAGCATGGCAGTTCTGATCTTCATGATAAAAACTGGGATCCACCTCTGTCTACAAATGCCCCTGGACTTGTATTCTTCACATTTGCTCCCCTATCTACCTTAGTGGAATCTTCCAATTCAACCTACTGTACTCAATAGCAGAGTGGCCCTACAGTGAGCCTTGACACCCTACTCAGGGCCCAGGGTGGTTCTGGTGAGACACTAGACTTCCTCTATCCCTCCCCTTGGGAAGTGGAAGTGTTGGCACTCAGAAATCATGAGGGCCCTTTTTGGTGCCTCTTTCCCACTGTGTATCTTGGGATATTCCTTTGACTTTGTCTTGAGGTGTCCAGAAAACGGTCATTTTGTTGTATAGAGAAAGAGAAGATCCAGTGGGCGTCAGTGTTAGATTCTTCTCCCCCCCCCCCCCCAAAGGAAGACATATACTTTTTTAGACCTCAAAGAATAAGGAATTATAGAAAGGTACTTCCAAGTTGAGATATTAAAATTCAGCTGCTTTCTGGATTCCAGGGGCACCTATCCAAGGGAAGAAGTCCCCCTCTGCCTGCCCCTGTACCACCCTAAGTCCTTTAAAACACTTACTGAGAATGTGGTGGGATCCTATTTTTTATCACCTAACACTCTCACCCCCACCACCTCTAACCCTGGACTTATTCTCTCTTCTGACCACAGCTACTTTACTCTGAAAGGACACAGAACAGCATGAGGAGGAAGGAGCCTCCTCTGGCTTTCTTTTGAGTCTCCAAAGCCAAGGCCAGTGGCAAAGCAGGAAGGGCTCAGCTTGTGGATTGTTTTGGAAGTACATGGTGGTTGCTGGTTGGGAAGATTTGATACAGGAGAGAGGGTTCTTAGGCAAGTGATGAGACGTTAGGAGCTCCATGGTCTATTTCCTTTCTTGGGCCAAGCCCAGAGGTGTGTGTGTGTGTAGGTGGGGGAGACACACCAAACCCCAGTGAGGAATGTGGGATTGGAGGTCAGAGAGGCCCTGGAGGAGAGGGCACAAGGCCCGAGAGAAGCTGTGTGCCCTCGAGAGATACAGACTCATGACAGGGCCTGGCAGAGGGCGCTGAGGGCAGGCAGTGGTCTGTGTGGATGGATTGTGAGGACAGGAGGGGAGGACGTTAGGGAAAAGTGGCAACCAGGAGACCCTGCCCTTGTCACATAGGTTCCCCCTGGCACTCGGCTATACCCAGGGAGAGAGGGGGACACTAAACTGATGGAGACTACACTTTGATGGATTCTGCTTAAAGGGGACTCAACTGAAAAATGAAGTTGGTAAATAGAAAGATAAAGCAAGCTCCATTTCTTATCCTCCTGAGTCTGAAGATGAAGATGATATTGGAGAAAATCCTTCGTGTCTCAGACTCAGTTATATAAGCACTTTGTGGGATCCTAAGCAATGAAGGGAGTGGCTCTCTTTTCATCTTTACAAAAGCCCCAGGAAACAGATTCCACAAGTGAGGACTCAGGGAGGCAAAGCTCTCTGTGTAAGGTCATGCAGTAAATGGCAGAGCCCACGGAGCTGCTAGAGCCAAGCCCTGACTGAAAGGGGAACAGGCGGTTTCAGGCCCTGTAGCAGGCTGACCTCTGCAAGCCAGGGAGTAACACCCAACACTCACCTTCCTCCCGTTCACGAAGAAAACCAATGCATCCGATCCCGATGGGCAAGGCATGGCACCTGCCAATGCTCGGCTCACAGTTCTATGGGGAGTGCTCTCTGGCACCAGCCACAGAAGTGAGTGGAAAGGATTTAGGACCAGCAACTGGCTTCTCTCCCTGGCTGGAGCCTCAGAGGGGAGGGCAGGAGGTGGAGACTTCCTTGCTTTGAGGTTTTTATGTTGAGGGCTTGGCCTCTAATCCTGTGCCTCACTCCTACCAATCCTGGCTTCAAAGCTGGCTGGGCACACAGCCCACACCTTTTCTAGCTTTTTCTGAAGTTTGAGGGCATTAGTCTAGAAATCATCAGTGTGAAAAACAATAATCTAGGCCCAACCTCCCTCTGCAATGTCACCTCTAGCCTACGAACATATCCTGGATGGATTTCATTCTTCTTGGAGTATAGGGTGCGCTTCCTGAGACCTCACACTTGCTCAACTTGTTCCTTATTCTACCCTGGGAAATGTCCCCTCAGAGGAAAACATATGAACAAGTCCAGCCTGTGCCCTAGTGGAAGGAGAAGTGTGGAGTGCTGCATCCACCCAGCCCCTCTGCACTCCTTCTCCCCACCCCTGTGATCATTCTGCTGGAAAACAGTGATCTAGTCAACCACTGTACATTTTCTTTTTAATGTAAGGCCCATGGGCCAGAGTGGTCACCTCAGGGTCACGCAGGAGTAAGAGGTAAAGCAGAAACCAAAACTAAGATCTCCTGGGTTGAAATACCTCTAGGTATACATAGAGACCCTTGATCAGAAGAACATACCAGGCTGACCTCTCTGAACATCTCCAGTGAGCTGTCACAGATAAAATCCAGCAGTCCTTGTTCTTTCAGCTGAAGTCATGCCCAGGACTTGGCATTGCAGATTAGTAAAGCAAGTAGATGCTCAGGAGAGGTGGCAAGACCTCTCTTCCCCACACTTCCTTCATGAGGTCATGGAACCCTCATTAGAGCAATCCCTTTATGCTAAGAACACTCACTACATGACAGCGTGTCAGGCCAGAAACCACAGACATCTGGCATCCCTCTGCCAGGGCTAATGGGGAAGATCTCTTTCTCAGTTGGTCCGGGTGGGGTTTCAGCATCTTTCCCACCACAGAGGTGTTCCAGAAAACACTCAAAAAAAAAAGAGCAAAAGCTCAAAAATTTCTACAAAACTAAAACCCAAGGCCCCAAGCAAAACAAGCCCAAGCAAACCGAGGACACAAGTGTGTATGGCACATGCACAAAGAAGAAGAAGAAGAAAAAAAAAATAACAATAGGAGAAGGAGAAGATCAAGATCAGAGTAAGAAAAAACAGGGAACTTAGACTTAGCCATCATGATCATCCTCCTCAACCCCAAAAACCCCAACCAGCACCCCGCGGCCGCGAAGAAAAGAACCAAAAAAATCACAAAGAACTCCACAACAGGTCCTCCCTGCTGCCCGCAGAAGATCCTCCTCCGCAAAAAAAAAAAAAAAAAAAAAAAACAACAAAAAAAAAAAAAAAAAAAAAAAAAAAAAAAAAAAAAAAAAACAACAACAAAAACCACAATCTAGCCAAACTACTTTCCTAATTGTTTTTCCACTTTAACTTGGGGCTTCTCTACTTAAAACCTTAGTCTAAACAATAGCTACTTGTAGCCCCCACAGTGGCCAGGGTGAATGATAACATATTCATTGCAGGGATGAATAAATACTTGACTGATGACCCAAGATACTTTAAAAGAAGGAGAAATTAGTGATGAACTAAGTTGCTAGACATTGTGCATCTGCCTTGCACCAGACTCTGCTAAGTGGCAGAGGTACAGAAGACAGCAGATCCACCCATTTCCTTTCTCTGAAGGGTTTCACAAGACAAAACAAAAAAATCAAAAATTAAACCCTTGGACAAAAAAAAAAAAAAAAAACAACCCTAGTTGGGGGACAAGGACCAGGGAATACATCTGAGAAAGGCACATTTAGGCCTGAAACATAAACAGGAGTTAATTCCTGAAAATTGAGCCCAGAAGGGAAGCAGGATGAGGAAAGAGAGAAAGGAGCACGTGGCGACACAGGATACGGTCACTTCCATTTAAGAGCATTAGTTTGAGGGCATTTGTCTGAATGCCCTCAACCCCACAGAAGCTGTTTTTAAGGGTCCCCAATCTGTTCACCACTTCATGCTTCCCTCTAAAAGAGGGCAACTTGTACACACAAAGGGCCCATAGTCACCATTGACGGGAGCTGGATGCTACCAGAGACCAGAAAGCATGAACCATGGTGTTCCCAAAGCAGCCATAGGAAAATATCGCCAATCATAAACAGAAAACACAAACATCAAGAATAGAAAAAAAAAAAACAAGTACGAAGGACGAAGAATGGAAAAAGATATAAGATATAGAAAAGAAAAAGGAATTAGGAAAACAAAACCAATAACAGCAAGGAAACGGAAAACGAAAACTGAACCGCCATTGAAAAAAAAAAAATCAAACCAAACTGATCCAAGAAACCAAACCTTGAGTGAAATCAAATCAAGTGAAAACAAAAAAGACAAAAAAAAAAAGGTGCTAGCCGAGGAGAGAAGTCACAACTCAACTCCCCTGGCTTTCCCCCCAAGAAGAACCCACCACGCTCGGGAGAGCAGAGTGGAAAAAACACACACCACAGAGAAAAAAAAGAGTGCAAAAAAAAAAACAAGAGGGAGAGCCACAGTCTCCCAAAACCCCTCCGCTCACAGATCACACAAAACAAAAGCAAAAAAAAAAAACACTGTGTCTTCCTTCTTTTTTCTCCTTTAATGAAGAAGGAAGAACAAGTTTCTTCACTTTTAAATGGATTATTCCAGTGGGCAAGAGAAATTCCGCATATGTTAACAGGTGCTCAGATGTTTGTTATAAAAAAGGACTTATGATTTACATCAAAGATCCCTGTTAGCTAATAAAAGAATTAATATTGGAAATGACACTTACTCTCTCCTCCAATTCAAACAGGCCTTCTTCCTGGGGGGTGGGGGAAGAAGTAGCACATTCTGCTCACTGATATAAATGGAAAAGTACTGGTAGTAGGCTTTGATGTCACTGGATGCGGCCTTCTGTGTTGAGTTATTTGAAATCCAAAGATGGAACAAAGGCAAGCAGACAGTGAGCACTTTTTAGGAACTTGAGGGTTTGGGTTGATCATTAAATACCCATATTCCAGGCCTTTCCCTCTCCACTCTTCTGACCATGAGGTCCCTTCTCTGCCCTTCCAGGCTCTAACCTTTCTACCTCTGCTGAGTCTATGGGAAGCTGGGTGCCAGTGAGGCTCTGGGCTCTGTGGGAGAGGATTCTTCCCCATAGGCTGAGGGAGTGCCTGGGGATCAGCAGCCTGAGAACAGTGAATCTGGAGAGAGCTTGGTCCTTGGATGGGGGTGATACATGGAGAGAAATCTTGACATTGGTGTAAGTAGGTCAGTAGTGCCAAAAGCAGTGCCTGAGCCCTTCTTGACCCTGAGACTTGATGAGTGTGAGGAGTGGGAGAGGCCAAGGCTAGGGGCCTTCCTCTATTTGCATCACAGGGCCCTGGCAGCCTTCTTGCTTCTACCCTTCTGAGGGTGAGGATGGATTAGGAACATTTTTTGTTCTACAGCCTGTGGTTGTGGTTCTTAGGGTACTCTAATCTAAGCTGAAGCCCAGTGAGCTGACAGATGAAAACAAATTTAATGGACCTTTTAGAGAGCCTTGTGTTCTCAATGCGATCTTATTTGGTAACTGGGTCTTTATTGATGTCATCAAGTTAATATGAAGTTATACTTGATTGGGGTGACCCCTGAATTCAATGACCTGTCATGAGAGAGATGGAGATTTGGAGACAGATGGATACACAAGGAGGGAAGATGGTGAGATGGAGGCAGAGATTGGAGTGATGTGTCTGCAGGCCACAATGTGGCAAGGATTGCTGGGAACTACCACAAGCCAGGAAGATGCACAAAGATTATTTCCTAGAGCCTTTAAAAGAAGGTTGATACCTTGATTCCAGGCTTCTAAGCCTGGGAGAGAATACATTTCTGCAGTGTTAAGTTATACAAGTTGTTAGAGCAGCCCTGGGAAACAAATACAGGTCCAAGAGCAGAGGGAGGATCAGTCAAAATAGGTGGGACACACACCTAGCACAAGAGAACTGTGGGAGGAGACAACTGTCAATCTGAATTTAAAAAAGAACATTAAACTGCAGTCCCCGAAACACTTTTTGGAGTAAACTAGACCAGCCAAAGAACAATTCAGTAGACGAGATGATCATGGTTGAAATCCAAATTAGTGACCTAGAAAACAAAGTGCAGGAAATATACCTCTGTACAGAGCAAGACAGCAGAATAAGAAATCATGAAGGGCAGGATGAAATATTTAAATCCTATTGTTCAACAAAGAAGTAGGAACAAATGATTTATAGATGAATTTTGTATAATCAATCATTAAGTTAATGACAAGGGTATTTAAACTTTCCCTGGCATATATAAAGGGAAATTCTGCTTAATTCATCTTGTTTGTTTTTAAGAGAGAGTGAGAGAGGGAGAGAGAGAATTTTAATATTTATTTTTTAGTTATCGGCGGACACAACATCTTTGTTTTGTATGTGGTGCTGGGGATCGAACCCGGGCCACACGCATGCCAGGCGAGCACGCTACCTCTTGAGCCACATCCCCAGCCCTAATTCATCTTATAAACTTAATAATTTTAATACAACTCAAGATATTAGAAAACACTATAGAAGAATCCCACTTATATTTTAAGTAAAATACTAGAAAATCAGATCCAGAAATATATCAAGGGATAATATATTCAGTAAAAAAATTATTTCTGGGACATAAGAGTGATTCAATATCAGAACTATAAGTTAAATATCAGAATTATTAAATCTGGCTTGGTATATTACATTAAAAACGGAGAAGGAGAACTGTGGTCAAATAAATAGATTATGTTAATTTACTGGATAAGATTTAGAAGCCATTCTCAAGAAAAACTCCAAATCACAGAGAAGAGGAAGAAACTAATGAAATCAGATTACTTAGAAAAACCAATAAATAATACTAACCTTAAAGGCAAAGCAAAAAACCAATTCTGTTCTGATTAAAATTTGAGATTAGCAGAAAAAGTGAGGAGAAGAGGAAGTCTAAACAGATAAGAGCAGGTTAATTGGGAAGGTACAATATAAATTGTAGAAAGTCAAGTGGGAATGATAAAGTTTTTTTTCTCTCTTATTGTGTAACATATCCTTGGAGGTTGCAATGGATAAAACAAAATAATGAAAAAGTGAAATAACATATAACTTCATATAAACATTGGTAGAGAAAGAAACAATCTAGTGAATGGTTATAACATAAGTATTGGAAAATTTATAGCTCCAAAACATAGATCATGTAAAAACAAATTTAGTTCTCCTCTTGCAAAAAATTATAGGATCTACTCACGAGACAAAATCTACATAAATGGAAAGACAAAATTTTCTTTAATGAAAAATTAGTATAAAAAGGCAATTCTCAGGCTGAGAATATAGCTCAGTTTGTTGAGTGCTTGCCTCACATGCACAAGGCCCTGGGTTCAATCCCTAGCACCACACACACACACACACACACACACACACACACACACAGCTATTCTCTTAAAGTTAATATTTAAATTCCATACAATTCTAATTAGAATTCTACCTACCTAAGTTTTTAGAGGTAATTGGATAAAATGATTTTTTTGGGGGGTATGAGACTAAATAGTTAAGATGAATTTGAAAAACAAGAAGATCAAGGGAGCACTTGGTATGGTATTCATTAATATAGTATTAGTATAAGGACAGATAACTAGATCAATTAAACCAAAGAAGAACCTAAAAATATAGTCTACTGTGCATATGAATTTAATACATGGCAAGCAGGAAGTGTCATAGAATATTCCTTAGCAAGTGAATCAAATGATTGGCTGATGACCAAAGTTCTTTGACTATAAATTTTTTTAAAGACAGAGAGAGAAAGAGAGAATTTTAATATTTATTTATTTAGTTAGTTAGTTATTGGTGGACACAACATCTTTGTTTGTATGTGATGCTAAGGATCGAACCTGGGTCGCATGCATGCCAGGCAAAGGTGCTACTGCTTGAGTCACATCCCCAGCCCCGACTATAATTTTTGAGAAATATTTGATATTAAACATCTATTAACATTGGAAGTACCCTTGGGTATCCCTATGATCTTTTAGAATAAATTTTTGTTTTCTTACAATGCTGATTTCAGGCCATCTTTGTTAACTCAGGGCTTGGGTGTGTAGAGCTCTGCAGATAGTCATCATCTTTAACATTTCCACTTGGTCACTCTTTTATACGGACAGAGTCAATTTTTTAATTACTGTCAATTTCAGATAATGAATCTCAAGAAGAACTTAACTTGCTCTGTAGTTTTATTTGTAATAAATAACAGCACCCTACACAGTGTGCTGTAATGAATTTAATAGAATACTTTTGAATGAGTAAGGAAAGAATATAGTAAATTTAGGACATAGAATTTCTGGGGCAAGTACTGACTTAAGGTAGAAAAACGTTACATATTCATATGTATTGTGCATTTCTTTGAAAACAAAATTAATCTTTTCTATAAAAGTAATTCATCCAATGTATAAATGTGATTTGCTACTTATATGCATGTAAATAATAAACTGGCAAATCAGGAAGAATAACTGATAGGTCTGGGTGGTAGATGTGGAGGTGAGCCAACCAGATCCCTGAAGGAAGCACTTGGGCCCAGCTGGGGAGTGGGGTCAGCATGGACCTCCAGCTCCTGAAGGTGGAGAGCCTCCTTCCTCAAGGTGGTGCCCTTCCTGGGGGAGCCCTGCCAGTGAGTGATGTGGAGGTACATTGCAGTCTGCAACTCAGTAGAGCACTACTTGCTCCAGCGCTCCCTGCTGGGTTCATGGTATTTTGGGGGACTACACTGCAATTCAACCTCTTCCTCTGCCCAATTCTGCATTTTCAACTTTTCTTTACTGGGTGTCAATTTCTAGGAAAAGTCCTGCTTCCCAAACTCTTTCTTAGTGTCTGGAAAACTCAACCTGCAATACTATGTGTCCTGGTAGTGTAAAGAATATTGGCCAATTTACATCACTGAACATATCAAGTGCAGAGGATTTAAGATTTTTCCTTAAAAGAAACAACAGAGATCTCCATGGAGCCATGCTCCAGCCTTCTTCTTGACCATTTCCCAAATTTGAGCATCTGCAGGTTCGAGGTGCTAAACTGAAATCAAATCCATCCTTACCACTATTCACTCAACTCCATTTTCCTTGTTTCCATAAGATGATACAAAACTGTTTAATTGTGAACTTTTGTCCAGGAGAAGTAAGACATCCTTGGGCCCATGGATATGAAAAGAGAAGAACTGTATATGTAGCAAGTGATACACAGAATTTCTCTTTTGACAAAATTTTACTGGCTCCAAAATGAAGCAGTAGGAATGATAAGTTTCTACAAGTAATAAGCATTAAGAGTTTGCCCAGAGTTAGAATTACATGCTTTTATCTCTGGGAGTCCTTGATCATTTGCTGAGTACACTGGTTAAAAAATTACATCTTAAATTTAAAGTCAACTATCAATGCAATAACTTTAAAATTAGACAATGACATATATTTATGTCAATCAATAATATGGATTAATTATGTAACATAACAGATATTATAAATTAGTAATTTCATTTAAGGCATAAGAATATTAATTCTGTGTTTGAAACTTGTTATTATTTAAAAACATACCAGTATTGGAACGACTTCTCATCTCAATTCTTCCAGTTAATTCAATACTGTTGGAATGATCAGACTTATTTTATAAAAACTCAATTTCTGAGTTACCAGGGTCCTAGCTCCTTTAGTCTATGAAATATAATAGTTTTATAGTTAATTTGTTTGTGACAAACATGTCTTCCAATTTTATTACAGAAAATATATTTCCAGTGAACTTTTATTTTTTATTATTCTCTCTTGTGTTTTTGTGTGTTAAGTTCTAGGCAATCCAGATTATTGCATGAATTCAAGTACACACTTAAGTTTTTACAAGGGTGCACACGAGCATGAACATACACACTTCTCTTGGAAGAAGAGACACTTGCCTTTGTTCCTCTTTTTTTTTTTTTTTGAAAAAAACTTTATTTCTGGGCTGGGGATGTGGCCCAAGTGGTAGCGCGCTAGCCTGGCATGTGTGCGGCTCAGGTTCGATCCTCAGCACCACATACAAACAAAGATGTTGTGTCCACCAATAATTAAAAAATAAATATTAAAATTCTCTCTCTCTCTCTCTCTCTCTCTCCTCTCTTTAAAAAAAGAAAAAACTCCTTTATTTCTACTATCAGCCCTTTCTTCTTCTGATTTGATCTCACGCACATATAAGCAATTGCTACACACTTACTCTCCCACTGCAAAATTACATTTATAAGTTAATGTATACAGAGCTTGAATAAATGCAGAGCTTTAATACTTATTGCACAGATCCCTGAGAAGTGATTCAGTTTGTTTATTTGTGTTTTCAAACCTCACAGTAAACTAAAAATCCATAACTGGCATGAGACTGCATTTCTGCAGGAAAATGCAATGTAAAATAGCTAGGAAATAATAAAAAAGACTCTTGAGGACTTTGTGACCCTTTGATGGCAAAAGGAAAATGGTTCTGATTTCACCTTTCAGACACTAATCTAAAACAAGGGACTCAAGAGTGATTTGGGATCATTTTCTTTTACTCAGTGTGACCTTCCAGGTAGGAAGATACAGTACCTTGTACATGGCTCATGGTGGGTACAGACCAGTTGGAGGCTTTGAATGGTGCCTTAGTCTTAGTATTTTGTTGCAATAAAAAAATACCCAAGGCTGGGTTCTTTATAAAGAAAAGAGGTTTTTATTTTGGCTCACAGTTCTGGATGATTGTATCTTGTGAGGGTCTCTGCTATGTCACAACACGGCAGATGACATCACATATTGGTAGCTTGTGCAAAGGATCACATGGCCAGAGAGGAATCAAGAAGTAAAGAAGGGCAAAGCTCAGTTTCTTAGGAATCTGCTCTTGTGGAAACTCAACCACTGTTATGAGACCCAATCCATTCCTTGAGGTCAGCATTAATCCCTTCACACTAGTGGTCTTGACCCAATAACCTTCTGCTAGGCTCTTTCTTTTAAAGGTTCTATCACCTCAACACCACCACACTGGGGACTAAGTTTCCAGCACATGAACCATTGGTGACAAACTTCATCCAAACCAGGGTAGCTTCTTCCTCCTAAAGCCCCTTCTGAATAGATCACATGGGACTGACAGGAGCCTTGGGACTGTGGTGGACATGCAGTGTTGGAGATAGCCCTTAGCTACTCACAAGAGCTGATTATGAGCATTCCTTTCCAACTCCACATTTAGATTCCTAAAGTGGTGGCTTGGAATTTGCCATTGTGGGAATATTTATACCATGGGAAATGGTAAGCATTGTAAACCAGGGTTTTTACCATGTGCGTTGGCTATTTTTAGGAGACATTGGGGGAATCCAGTCCTGATAGTTTTTGGTGTGGATGATTTTACAGATTTAAATCTGCTTTGAGCAGATTTCTGAAGAATAAAGCATGAGTAGTCTCTCTTGGGTTGTCCAGGTTATGAAAACTCTACCATGTTTTAAAATCATGGTGATATAGATATTTAGGATAATAAAAACTAAAATTAGAATTTATATTTCTGAGTTTCATTATACTTTTGGTGAAAATTTGCATCCTAAAACATAATCATGCAGGTACCTAAGACACAGATAATATTTTTAAAATGCCAAAATTATCTTTGACAATCAGAAGTGAAGCTATATTTTGCTTTGATTTGAGACTTTTTAAAAAAGATTAATCACATATTATTTCATTTTCTTGAAAACACAAGATTAAGATACACGGATGGACCAAGGTGTAAATGTTGAAGGGTCATCTCTGGGAACCTAAAAAAATCAAAAGAAGGGAGATAGTTGTTAATATAGTTTTATTACATGGAAAAATGTTATAATTTAAAAGTAATGTATTTTTAAAAAGGGGAAAATCAATGTCTATTTTATCCTTATCAAAATTGTGTAATTTTCATATTTGTTTCAATTCTGGAATCATAAACCTCCTTATCCTCCAAGACTTATGTTTGGGATAAGATGCATCTTATTAAAAATCCCTGTAATTTCTAAAGCATGATGTTCAATCTAATTTTATATGATAGACTCATGCTGCAGTAAGCAGTTCAATAGAGAAATGCTTTCTGATGATAACTTGAGATATATTTTTAGCAAATGGCAAATGAAATTGTGTTTTATTACTGTGTCATTATAAGGCAAATCAAGTTGTGTCCAGGGACCTGATATTTTTCATTTAAATTATTTTTCTTAGTTTACTTAACAAATACATTCTGTGTAATAGACCAGATCTGATATCTAGTAAATATAATTTGGTTACTGAATTAATCAAAATGCCACACCAACTGCATTTTGATAGTGTTTAAAGATGCAACCTACCACATCCATCTTCTATTAGCACTGGCTCAGTGTGTTTATCTTTTGGGTCTGAAATAATTCAATCTTTATTTGAAGAGAATTGCTCACTTTGCAATTGCTTTGAAGTATATTGGAAGCTTATGGAAGTAATTTTTTTAAAAAAAATTAATTTTGTCATCGTTATCAAATCCAAACCAAGGACCTGAAAACCCTTGTAAGGAGCAATACCTACAGGAACCTCCCTTACCATGTCAGTAAATTGATCCACACAAGTCATCCGAATCAATTCAGGAGTTGCTGGGCTACTTATGGCAAAGGTCTTGCTCAGCCCCCTCTCTCTACGGGCAGCAGTCACCGCATCATATATGGCAAACAATACAGAGGACCCCAAGAACATTCCGGCCTCACCCAATCCCTGAGAGAGGTACAACTGGCAGTTAGAAATGTACAGTTCTTTTAGGACTAATTTTTGTACACACACACACACACACACACACACACACACACACACACACAGCATATTTATCTTTCCAAAACAAGGTCACCAGATACATGTACATGTTTGTTTCAAACTGCAAACTATCTGTGCCGCTCTCTGTCTGCCTCTCTCTCTCTCTCACACACACACACACACACACACACACACACACACACAGGCCATGCACGCACGTTCTCCCTTTCTGGCTTTAATGCCCCCTATAGTGGAGTGCATCTGGATTATTGGGTTGAACTCCCCCACAGCAATTCTTTGTGTGGGTGCTCCTGAGAGTAGCTGATGAAAATGTTCCAGGACACCAGGATATCTAGCTGTTAAAATCTCCTGTTCTCCTTCCCAGGTAAAGTCCTGAAGACCAAAGTCCCTGGTTGCCCTCTAGGATTCTCTAATCCTGCCTCTGGGTCATCATGTTTTAACTCAAAGCCAAAACAAAATGACCACAATCTTTGTAGATGGGCTTGGGGACAGTGACACGGTTGCTCCTTTTCACGTGGGCTTTCTTGGAGTGTGTTAGATGGATGTGAATTGACATTATATTTTGAATGATTCATCAAAGCTTTTTGTACTGATTTTTCTTCTTTCTTTCCTTAGGGTAGTCTGGTCTCAGGACCTTGGTGGAGGAATGGGACAAAGGCTGGGAGTAGACAACCGTTTTTCCACGCTTTGGTTTTGAAAAACCAGGTTACTCTCAGGAAAATATGGAAGGAGAAGTGGGGCCAGTGAGAGAGGGTCCTCTGCGATAATGAGGAGGTCTGGTAGCAAGGTGGCTAGACCTTGAGCAGCAGAAAAGCCCATATTACGTCTGGGCTGATGTAATTTGCCTGCAAGGTCAGTTTATCTTCTGGTGGCACTTAGCCTAAGGAGCCAGGATGTTCAGATCCTCCTTGACCTTTCTTATTTGATTTAGATTTCTTTCATATCTCAAGAATGAAGAGGACTCAGGATTCTGAAGATGTTGAGCAGTACTCTGAGAGAGCTTGTTTTCTTTTGGGGGGATTTGCAATTCAAAGGAACAAACAAATTCAAAATAGTTCTGGGAATCCTTTCAAAAGTTCTTTTAAGAGGAGGTTTTTCAAATTCATATGTTGAAGTCCTTCTTATGATTTGGATGTGAGGTGTCCTCCAAAAGCTCACACAAGGCAAGAATGAAGGTTCAGAGGAAAAATGATTGGGTTGTAAGACAATTATAATTGAATACAATTAACCAAATCAGTGAGTTAATCCCCTGAGGGGTACCTGAAGTGGTAGGATGTGGTTTCAGGAGCAATTGGGCCATGGCTCGGGGCTATATATTTGTATCTGGCTAGTGGAGTTTCTCTTTGCTTCCTGATCATCATGTGAGCTGTTTCCCTCCGTCACTCTTCCGCCATGATGTTCTGTCTCACCTTGCGCCCGGTGGAATGGAGTTGCCTTCTATGGATTAAGACCTCTGAAATTGTGAGCCCTAAATAAAATTTCTACCTTTAAAATTGTTCTGGTCAGATCTCTTAGTTACAGCAATGAAAAAGCTGACTAAAACAGTTCTCATCCCCAGTTGCTAAGAATGTGACTGTTTTTTTGTAGATAGGGTCTTTAAAGAGATGATTAAATGAGGTCATTTGGGGTGGGCTCTAGTCGAAAGGTGTCCCTCTAAGACAGGAAAACTAGGACCCAGATGGGCATAGAGGGAACTCAATGTGAAGAAATAGGAAGGAGGAGAAAAGCTATTTACAAGCTGAGTAGAGAGGATTCAGGAGAAACCAACCCTGCCAACATCCCAATCTCAACCGTCCAGATTCCAAAAGCGTGAGAAAGTCAATTTGTTGTTTTAGCCACCCAGCCTGTGGCATTTGGTTATGGTGGACCTGGTCAACACAGAGGTCTCAAGTTCTTACCTTGGATGAATAGATGGCAATGGGATTTTGGGAATGCACAAAAGTGACATAAAATTCTTCTGGTATCTCAGTGACAGTGGGGATTTTGTAGTCATCCGGACCCCGAGAATGAAGCACACCTTCTGGGGAGTATTTCAGCTCCTCTATGGTATAAAATCCCATGCCCTGGATAAATGCTCCCTCAACCTACAGTCAGAAATTTCATACATGAGATTTGGGTGATATTGGTTGAAAAAATATTCCAGTATGAAAGGAAGTCGAGTTCCCCACCACAATGAGCCTTTCTTGAACGTATTGCAATGGACTTTACAAAGGGTCCTCAGAAAGGTGCCTCCACCTTGCCTGGCCTCATCCTCAGGTACCCCATGTAACCTGACGCTTGCCCAAGTTCCAGGTAGTTTCTCAAACCCACCCAGTTCTTTCCCACCTCCAAGTCTTTGCAAATGCAGCTTCTCCTGATTCTCTTCACACCTGACCACTTCAACTTGTCTACCTGGCAAACCCCTATTCACTCCTCCTCACCCTTTAAGTTCCAGGTGAAAATGACCACTCTCAGGATATTCCTTCACCTCTAGGTGCATCTCCCAGGCTCACTGCACCTCGAATACTTGTTATTCACCCCCCACTCTTAAGCATACTGAGGCCGGGTCTACTTCTATTCTGTTCTCAGCACAGTGCCTGGTACATAGAGTTCTCAATAAATGTCTGTGGATTAGATAGAAAAGAAGCTACCATAAAAGGAGCATGAACTAGAATAAATGGAGCCAGGACACTGTAGTAGATATTAATATCTGGATTCTTTGCTTCCCTTCATAAATGAGATCAATGTTAAACATCGTGGGTTGGAAGTCATGTTGCTTTATTTATAAGTTATTATGCTCTGAGATAAAGGTTTTTTCAAAGGAAATGCCTGTCTAGAGGTTATAAAACTTGAAGGAGAATCACGGCTTGAGTTTTTACAGAAACTTCAAATTTTAGAATGAGGTAAGCACATATAAATGTTACTTTAGGAAATGACAGTGTCTCTAAAGGAAAAAATAAAAGCTCAAAGGATTCAGTCTAGACTTCTGTTTTTCTTTCCTTTTCTGATGGGAAAATGCAGAATTTTTCCTAATTACAGGATCTCACATTTTCCTTTACAAAAGCAATAAAGAGGCCGGAATTAGCTGGGAGTAGGAAGAAAAAAAAGGAGAGGTGGACCAGGGCCTGGGACTAGCTGTAGTTCTCAAACTTTACAAATTTAAGTTCCACTTTGTGTGCAAATTTCAATTCCTAGTCTACCAAAGTTATGATGAGCACGACTCAACCTGAAGTGGGCCAGAAACATTATAGTTGCTTTGGGTATAGAGAGACTGAGGACCACAGTTTGAGAAACACTGATGAGTCAACAAAATAATTCCTTATAAAGTCCATTGGTCAAGCTAGGCAAACTAGTTCCTTAGGATTTAGGATGGTAGAATGAGACTGGCAGATGAAAGCTCCACAAAATTCTTAGGGTTGGATGCCAAGATATTCAGTCTCCAAATTGCTATTAAGGTGCACACTAGGGACCAGTCACTTTGGCCTCACCTGGGAGCTGGTGAGCAGGTTTGATGTGGGCTGATGCTTTGGTCTGTTGGCCCCACTTTGAGAAACAAACTTGGAAAAAACAGAGCTTCCACAACAACTGGAAAAGTTTTAACTCCAAGTTTAAAAGATTTGGGTGAGTTAATTTTATTTATTTGTGAGATATGAATCAGAATTAAATTCAGCAAAGGGGAAAAACTGTGTTTAAAAATTTTTCTATTTTATTTCCCTAAATCATGCAATGTTTAAATTCAATATTAATGTAAGCACTAACGTAACTTAATTACTATGGACCTGTATAATGTTTTAATTATAAACTTAATATTCATTGAGGAAAAATTAGAAAGCATGGAGACTTACAAGGCAGAATAAATCATATATATTCCTGAAATGCAGACATATATTGTTAACTTTTTCTTGAATTTTCTTACAGTATTTTATCTATCTGTACGTGTATGCAAGTGTGCATGATGTGTGTAATAATAATATATGTTGCAGAATATTTGCATGAGGTATGAACAAGGTTTGGATGATTCTGGAGAATTGTATTCTGTATGAATTCCTCTTAAATAGGATTGACTAAAAGTCTCTGTGGGGAAGGTACTTACCTGTCCAATATCCAGGGCTGGGTTTATGCTGAAAGCAGCATCCATGAAGATGTCAGTTCTAAGGAGCTACACCAAGAGAAAAGATATAATGGACAGTATAAGTTATTTAAAGTAGATTTTTTAAAAACTAAGTTATATATCTGTCCCTATTTCTTCCACGTGGAGGATCAAGTTAGTTATTATTTACAGTATAGGAAACATATTACTTTTTGTGTTGACCCTATAAAGATGGCACATATAAATGTTGCTTTTTACCTTATGAGCCCCAGTCAGACAGTCAATTTCAACCTCAGAACAGGATGCTCCATAAACAAAATATGGAAATGCATTACCTTCCTCCTTCTCCCAGTCCATATTTGTCTGGTAGCCTCTGAGAATAGAAATCAGGAATGGAATTTTTTAAAAAAAGGTACTTAAGGTACTTTCCTGATTAGTGATCTGGTTACCTGGCTGTGTGGGGTCCTATAGACTACAGGGCAGAAGGCTGCAGACCCTGTGCCCCATTCTGTGGCTGGAGGTCTGCTTCCCCTTCTCTTGTGAGGGGACTGTGGTCAGGGCTATAAGAGAATTGCTGAAGATTCAGGAGGAGATGGACTGGTGTCTGCCCTTCCCCAAGGAGGCTCTGGATTGTTCCCCTGCTCCTGGTCCAAATCTTCATCTCCTTCCCCATCTCCAGAGATCCCTTGACTACAGGATTAACACCCACATCACATCACCCCTGCCCAAGTATAATATTAGCCAAAGTAATAATGTCCTTTACTTGAAATATCCAGTTGCTGAGAGACTGATGGATTCTTCAAAAGCTTGTGCAATCTGAAAGAGATGATTAATTAAAAAGAAAGTATAAGTTTAGGGAAAGTAATTTACAACATCCATCCATTCTGGGCTTGTCTCTTGTTTACATGGGGCTCTGTACCTACATTTATCTGTAGTGAGACTCAAGACTGAGTGTGAGCTATGGGTCACAATTTGCTAGGGAAAAATAGCAGACAGCTGTGTTCTGGTATTATCCAAATTGGGCTGCACAGTGTAAAAATTTTACTATTTTTCACAAATTAGGGAGAGGGGTAGACTACATTTTTATGTAGTTATGTATTTAGGTATGCACATAGGATATATATATATATATTTGGATTTTCACCTTGCACTATTTTGACTGTCTTACTATAAGATTATGTCATCTTCCCTGTAACTGGATAGGGGCAGGCAACAATATTAATAATGGTAATTGTAGTAACAACTATTAAAAATAGAGCAATCCTTTGATCTTAGCATTGCTGTTTTCTCCATTGCACAGGTGAGAACACCAAAGCCTGAGACCCTGGCCCTGCTGCCATAGCTATGGCACAGGGGCAACACCCCTGGGGTTTGACTTCTGAGCTCATGCTGCTATTGTGTTCTATAAGATATTAGGCTCTGAAATAGAACCAGGTGGCAATGAACATGGGTATCTCTTTTACCTGCTTTGTAAGGTAGAAGTAAATGCTAATACATTAGTATTCTTGAATGGTTGCTACCTGTCAGCCCACACATCTATAACTCATTCCCATGTGGATGTCCTTGCCTCTTCCTGGCTGGGATAATAAAAGGAACACTCACCCATTCTTCCCATTTTCCTTTAGGGTTTTTTCTGATGATGGGCTGAAGACGGGCCATGAGAATCTGGCAGGCATTCTAGAAATAAATGTTTGAAATGGTATCAGAAATAAAAGGCAGAGGGAATAGCAAACTGTTGGTTATTTAAATCACTTTTGATGGAGCCTGCCATTTTTTTAAAGTATCTTCCTTACTCTTATAGGAGGATTTCTTAAACTTGAGAAAGAAATGTGTTGAATCTTTTCAAAGGAAAAAGATCTTCTTGTAGCTTCTACAGTGTTGACTTATTTTTATTACAATGTTTATATATATATGTTAACACAAAGCTAAGCAGAGTCTCCTTAGAGTTAGTTTTTTTTCTGTAACTATAAAGCAAAACCAAAATGACAGATCATGCACACCAATACATATACTAATAAAGTTCAAAATAACAACATTAATTCAATTGAGAGATGATGCTGTGTTTTATTTTTTTTTAAAGAGAGAGAGAGAGAGAGAGAGAGAGAGAGAGAGAGAGAATTTTTAATATTTATTTATTTATTTTAGTTTTCGGCAGACACAACATCTTTGTT